GATGGTGATCATGCGGATGATTGTGCAATTGGTGTTGTTGCGACGATGTTTGCGTGACGATGATAGTTGTGCGATCTTAATGTCATGAACACAACGCAGAATCATACCTGATCGTCACGACCGCTGCAGTAAGAGCCGTAATAGCCATCATCGTCATCGTCATCGTCATCATCATCATCAGCAGATATCAGCAGCATCGTGATGAGCATCCTGGCCAGCATCATGTTAGGCACACCGTCTTGGGGAATGACTCAGCAGCTGAAAATAGCCTCAACCTGAGCAACAGCAGCAGCAGCAGCAGCACGACCCCAAGGCAACAATCCACTTATGCCACTGTCCAGTCCGTCCTGGCTCCGTCTTTCTCCATACTCAGTCATGCTTGAATTCAGCACGCAGCTAGTGCTGCTTTGCATATTCTTCTTCATGCCAGCTGCTGACAGGTACCACCCCACAAAGCTGTTCGAAGGACGCGCTTGATGTCTGTTGGACCTAGACCGAGTCTGCAGTGGAACACACGCAGACTTGAGTATACGCTGGATTCGCACGTGCCGATCGACAATCCTTTTTTGTTTTTTCTCTTTCTTTCTTTCGTCAGGGCTTTTATTTTTTCTCTCTCTCTCTCTCTCTCTCTCTCCTAGGCATGACGGGCGGTTCAGGCCCCTCCGGCCCGATGGCCCACCCGCATATACGGGCCGTATGGATGAGTGTAAGACGAATGCTTCTGTCTCTCTCTCGCTCTGTGGAGTTTGTGGCGTTTCTTTGCGCGCCCACACCCGTCGTGCTACAGCACAGCTCCACTTGATGGAGCTGCGCCCCCTCACTCCAAATGGATCTATGACTCCTTTGATACTTGAGGGGTCCTGGGGCGTCCATGCGCATCCATTTGGCGAATTTTGGGGGCTTCAGTCCTCGATCTTTGGCGGGCTCGACTAGACAAAGAGTTCTGCTTTCGAGCATTCCGAGAGCCTGTAGGGGTTGTAGCCGCAGCAGAAGTTCTTCAAACGAAACTCAACTGCTGCGCAAACTTCAACCCGGGCATAGGTGGCTGCTCGAGCTGCCTGAATTCCTGGTCACAAGGCTTTGTACTTTATGCAGAGATTTAGAGACCCATGGTGAGAGCACCGAACAGTTAAAGCCGAATTGCGCTGCCGGCGATCTTCGCCAGCCGCGTCTGAGGCAGGCACAACTTTGTGCGCCCACGATGTCTGAAGGCGGAAGAAAACAAACACACATATGAAACATATGCAGGGGAATATAAAGTATGTATTTACTCATGCTGCATTTATATTCATGCTTGTTCATCTAACTAATTACATATTTGTATACACACCCGACCACTAGAAGCATTGTGACAGTCATGATCGCGCTACCTCGCTTCGGCTACGCGCCCTTTCCGAGCGCGAGGGGCCGGTGGAGAAGGCTGGAGTGCGAGTAGCCAAGCGAAGTGACATCTAATGTGCTGCATGTTCTGTGGCAACAGGCACGGGAATTAATATTGTGTGTTGGGGTCCTTCGCGGTGGCAACAGCCAGAACCCTCTGTCGGCGCTACAGAATTCGAATTGGGAAGGTTGCGAGCTCAGGCGTGCCAGCCACGGCTCGACGAGCCCGAGGCCTGGCCAAAGTTCGACCTCGAGTCGCGCGGCTGCGTGGTGACATGTTGTCCACTGCGCGACAACCCCAATCAAAACTGAGAGGGTAGCGGGCCCGGGTATGACAGCCCATTTCCACCTCAAACAACAAGGAGTAAGACGAGCAACAAAGTGGCAGGTCACAGCTTCATCTCACAATGCATGTAGACATACCGCCCCTGTGCACTCAGCTACAGATGCCAAGATGCTGTAAGGGCTTTCGTTTCCATAAAATCCGCTGTAAGCAGCTCCACAGTACGAGCCACTGCCACCTTACCGTGGGCCGAAACTTGGGGAGCTAACGCGGCTTTTACTTCGCCAAGCCGCCATCCGACATCGTGTGATTCTCGGCTCCTTTCACGACACGGCAGCCACTTCAGTCGTCCCAGCTTCCCTTCAAATGTCCGGTTGCTGCCAAGAGACTCCAAGCAGACCATGGCCCTTGCTCCCACGAGCTTCCTGCAGGCCAGTTCGGGCCCTGCCAAGTGGAACTTTCAGATTGCCCTAAACCCTAAACCCTAAACCCTAAACCGTGTCTAGCGCTCCCGAACAGCTTGGAGCAGGGCAGAAATCAGTCTTCAAGTGCCTGCCAGTTCGTGGACGCCGCTGCCGGTGCCGACCAGCCGCCTCCTGAAATAGCAAGCCGAGAACGTATTGGTTTCACGCATTTGCCCACTCCCTGAACATGGCCTGCGGAGCCTGAAAAGCCGCTGTGGTCGTAACCGTTCGTGTAGCCTGAGTTCAGCCCGGTAATACCAATTTAAGCCCCATCACAAACTCGAATCAAGTCATCACGAGTATGACATAGGCCGGGCGAGGTGCAGAAGCCCTGGCTGTGCGATTCTTGGCAGTTGCCACTCCCGTAGGCATACCTGAGCATCTTCACTGGCACAGAGAAGATTTCTGCTGCTTGCGGCTGTCTGCTGCACGAGCCCGAACATTGGTTTTGGTTCTCCCATTGCATCGCCCACGCATAAATCTGACACAGAACTGCGACGGCTGCTGCCACGCAGGATTCTTGCAGCTCGGCCAATTGCAACTCTGATCCTTTCTGTGCTCTTGGCCCGCCCGTCACAATTCCGAGATTAGGAAGCTTTCAATCCAAGGAGCTGATTCAGAGCAGCACCTTCGTTGAAGAGGTCACCTGGCGACCACACCAAGCTCTTAGCATGGAAAGAGTATGGATAACGATTTCCAGACCATCTGCGGCAACAAGGGAAGGGGTGAAGTGGCCGTGCCTGCGCCATCCGCTTTGCCTTTCCCTTTGGAATTTCCTCCGTTTGCGCGACATCGTCGTGCAACTCAATGCTGCAAAGCTGGGGGCACTGGCTCGATGTGGCTGGCATGGGTGGCCTGGGCCATGGAGCAGGCTACGAGTGCGCGAGGACCATGACAAACTGGGGCACCAGCAATGGAACTCCTTGGGCCATCTGGAACAACTCGGCGACCTCAGCGCACATGTAAAGATGCTGAGCCACGCGATGCAGAAGCTCTTATTATTGGTGCCAGTCACACAGAACCTGAGATTGCAGCATTAAGCCGGCGCCACGTTGG